TACATTGCCACAACTTCAAAAGAACCCAATAACATCACGACTGTTATGGCCACCATGCATTTCACTCCTCCAAATAACACATGGTACATGGACACAGGTGCATCTTCCCACACAACGGCGTCACAAGGTAATCTCTCGTCTTACTCTAATTTGAGTCACTTAAATCATAAACTTTTTGTTAGTAGCAGACAAGGTATTGCAATTCAGGGATCTAGACACATAACCCTACCAACCTCCCATAAGCATAAGTCGTTGAACTTTACCCATGATCTGCACACACCACAAATTGTCAACAATTAATTTTTGTGAAACAACTTACTACTGACAATAATGTGTTTATTTCTTTTGGTCTCTTTGGATTTTCAAATAGTGACTTTTAAACGGGGATTCCACTCATGAGATGTGATAGCCTTGGCTATATCTATTTAGTTACTACTTCCTATCCTTTTACCTGTCTTGTTTACAGTCTCAGGCACAGTCGTCTTGGACATCCCAGTTCTTCAACTTTGCAGTCTCTTCGTAGCAATAAATTCATTAGTTATGAAAACTCGAATTCTAGGACAATTTGCGCTTCTTATGTGTTTGGAAAGCATGTTAGGTTGCCTTATGTTTCATCCAATAATGTTACTGTGATGCCCTTTGATATTTTACATAGTGATTTATGGGCATCACTAGTTTTGAGTTCAGTTGGTCATTGTTATTATGTTTTATTTTTGGATGATTTTTCTGATTTTCTATGTACGTTTCCTACATCTCATGTTTTTAACATGTTCAGTTCTCACTCAAATCAAAGTCACATACAATTATCTCAAACTGTCAAATATTTTCAATGTGATAATGGGAGAGAATATGTCAATATACTTTTTCATAATTATTGTGCTGCTAGTAGTCTCATTTTTCGCTTTTCTTCCCCCCACACTTCATCACAAAATGGCAAGGCGGAACGAAAAATACACACTATTAACATGATTCACACTTTTCTCGCTTATGCTTCTGTTCCTCCCTCATTTTGGCATCTTGCGCTTCAAATGGCTACATATCCTCTTAACATTCTTCCCTCGAAAACCATGTCTAATCTCTACTCTACTGAACTTCGGTATCATCGTGGCCCCTCTTACACATATTTTCACGTCTTTGGTTATCTTTGTTATCCCTTGTTTCCCTCTACTACCATTAATAAATTACAATCCTGTTTCACTCCTTGTGTACAGAAAAATCATCATCTCACGGCTTGTCATCTTTGATGAGACTCGATTTCCATTTGCTCGCTTGTACTTCACACCTGCCCCTACATACAATTGTTTCAATGATGCTTTACACTCCTCTATTATACATCAATGGACTCATTTGTATTTACAGTCTCCACCAGATGACCTTCTCACACAATCACCTATACCCGACCTTCACCATATATCACCAGCCACCATAGCCACTCCCCTGTCCTCCTGTTCAAATCACCTGGATACTTTTAATCGGTCCAACCTGCACCTCTTACCCGGACAAACAATGAGGAGTATTTACAAACCTCGAAAACTCATTAACCTATATGTTACCATTGATAATCCGACCATCTCACCTCTTTCAAAAGCCATAAAACTGCCCTTGTTGGCCCTAATTGGAAATCTGCAACGCAATATGAATTTAATACTCTTATTGGAAATAATATGCGGGGTTTAGTTCCTCGACATTGTGATGTTAACATTATTCATTGTATGTGGGTTTTCAAGCATAAAATGAAATCTAATGGTTGTTTTGAGCGTTATAAAACTCGTCTTATAGGTGATGGCAGGTCTCAAATTATAGGAGTGGATTATGATGAGACTTTCGGCCTTGTGGTGAAACTTGTGACCATTCACACTATTCTCACTATTGCTCTCTCTAAGTCTTGGCCCATTCATCAGTTAGATTTCTATAATGTCTTTCTACATGGTGATCTTCATGAGACTGTCTATATGCATTAGCCACTGTGTTTCCCTGATCCCCATCACCCAGATTAAGCGTGTCGCTTGCAGAAATATTTGTATGGTTTGAAGTAAGTGTCTCATGCTTGGTACCAGCGTTTCGCAGATTATGTCTCCACCATTGAATTTCATCATATCACCTCAGATCACTTTCTCTTCATCTACCGGCATGACTCTGACATGACTTACATATCGCTTTATGTTGATGACATCATCCTCATCAATTCATCTCATAACCTATGCAAATTTATCATGACGTTTTTGCCTCAGAGTTTTTTATGAAGGATTTGAGACCACTGAGCTATTTTCCAGGTATTGTAGTGACTAGAAATGATGATGGACTTTGCCTTATCAGAGTGCCTATGCTAGTGACATTATTACTCGAGCTGGCATGGCCTCATGCAAACCTTCTACTACACTAGTTGACATCAAGCAAAAGCTCATTACCACCGTTAGCACTTTGTATAACGATCTTACCTTATATTGGAGTCTTGCTGGTGCTTTGTAGTATCTCACATTTACTCGCCTTGACATTTCTTATGTTGTCCAACAAGTGTGTCTTATCATGCATGCTCCCTACTAGGGGTGAGCAGAACCCAACCCAACCCGAAGACCCGTCCCAACCCAATATAGGTGCGATGGGTTCGGGTTGACCCTCGGGTTATCCAACCCGTCCTAATATTGTGAGTGGACATGTGATACTATTTATTTATTTATTTAATTTATTGGTATATTTAAATTATTCCAAATTTCCAATAGACTTTTCCACTTTTCACCTCATAATTTAATATATGCACTAAGCAAATACTAAGTACACATTTGTTCTCTTACATCATGTTTTTTATTTTACATCTTCTTAGTATGTTTTAGGAAAAATAAAAAGGTAATGACATATTATCGGGATTTTTACGGGTTTAGGTACGGGTTATGGTCATTAAAATAACCCGATCAAAATTTAGGACAGGGTTAGGGTTAGTCATAACCCATCCCGACCCGTCCCTTGCTCACCCCTACTCCCTACAGCGAGAAAATGCTTGCTTTGAAACACATCATGCATGATGTTCAGGGCACCTTATAGTATGATTTGCATCTCTATCTTTCTCATATCAAGAAGTTTGTTTCCTATACAGGTGCTGATTGCGGTGGATGTCCCGACACTCGTCGATCTACTTTTGGCTATTATGTTTTTCTTGATGATAACCTAATTTTATGGTCTTCTAAGAGACAACCTACACTTTCTCGTTCTAGTGCAAAAGCTGAGTGTTGGGGTGTTACTAATGTGGTTTCAAAATCATATTGGCTCTGCACCTTCTCTTGGAGCTTCATTTTCCCCTTTCTCAAGCTATTTTGGTGTATTGTGACAATGTTAGTGCTATATACCTATCAGGAAATCCTGCCCAACATCAACATACTTAACACATTGAGATGAACATTCACTTGTTTCGGAGAAGGTCGCCTGTGGTTAGGCCTGCGTCTTCATGGTCCTTCCCGACACTAGATTGCTGATATCTTCACAAAGGTCTTCCTAAAGTTCTTTTTGATTATTTTATTACCAGTCTAAGCATAACTTAATCACCCGCTTCGATTGCGGGGTGTGATAGAAATATTCTATAATCAATATATAATTATTAGTTACTTATAATTACACTTCTATTCAAAAAAGTTAGGTCAACATTATATATATCCTATGTCACTCATGAAAAACACAAAAAATTCAACAATCTTACAATAATATCTTCATCTCTTTTAGTTTCACAAGCTTTTTTCTTGAAAAAATAATTTATGTTTTCACTTGTCTTTCTAATGAAAAAATAAAACATATTGTCAACAAAAATTTATCCGATTCATATTTTTCTAAAAAAAATCACTCCAAATGAGAAATTAATTAATCCTAATAGAAAACTACTGCTTGATAATAATATATATATTTTTGAATTAAAAAGAATTATAAACAGTGTCATACACAGTGCTATGTGAATATTGTCAGTGAGGTGTTTAAGTAGTGAAATAAAGTTGATTACGGAAATATAAAAAGTTGGTTAATGATGTGATAAAATTGATTAATAAAGTGATGAAATTGGTTAATAAATATGCAGATATTAAAAAAAAAATTAGTAGTAAAACAAAGTTGATTAATGAAGTTATGAAGTTGATTAATAAACGTACATATATTTAGAATATTTTTTTAGTAGAAAACAAAGTTGGTTAATAAAATGTTAGTTAATGATATTATGAAGTTGGTTAATCACATAATTTTAAAAATAAAAATAATAAACTTTTTATATATACTATTTAAAAAAAGTTAATATTATAATATTTCATTGTTCACTAATATAGTGAACAGTAAACAATAAAATACCATATAAGTGTATAATCCTGAGAAAGAATATCTTTTTGTTAATTAATTCCAGTGTATATTAACAACACTTGCAAGCAATATGTAACAATTTAGAAGATACCATTATTTTCATTTTTCATTTTCTGTAGCAGTATGTAACAGAAGCATAACAAATAATACGAAATTATTTCATCTTTCTTAACTATTTTGTAACTATCTTGACGAAGTTTTATTTTGAAAAGGAGTAATTGATAAGAGTAGTGATCGTTTAAACTTGGAAATTTTCACCTTTTAGTATTTAGTATGTCAGTTTATTTTAAACTCTTTAGAATAAATAAAAAAGTTTACATTTCGCTTATTCAAGCTAATGCCATAGAATTTTCTTTATATGGTACTGTTTTTTGTGCCGTTTATCTTTACAATAGCACATAGTCATACTACTTTACAATCAATAAATAAATAAATCATAAGCATTACAAAATCCAGGTAACAACCATATTTAACTTAACATACATGGAGAGAGTCTACAATATATGAACAAACTATAACCTTACTACATTACAATAACACATTTACAATCATAGTTAGAAAGATACAACAGAAATCGCAATATAGTGAGAGGCAGACTTATGTTATACTATATAAGACTTTGAAATTTTTAACATGGTCATATTAAAAACTACCTAAAATGTGATCCAGACTCACAAAATCTGCCTCATACTGTTTGTAAAAGACCAACTAAAAGATTTCCTACTTGTTGGCCTTGGAACAAAATTGAGGCCAAACATTTCCTTAAGAGCTTGTTCTGGCTCTACTGGACCAACCAGCTTTACAACAACAGCTGCACTTTCTCTAATGTGATCAATGCTGTTTGTGTCAGTCCATAGACGATGGGCCAACTGTAACCTCCTATGCTTTGAACTCAAAAGAAGGCCCCATTTCGTGTATAAATTCTCTCTTTCACCTTTAGATAGCTTTTTCTGCATTTGCTTGCATAACATCTGTCTCTCTTTTCTTAGATATCTCGTGCTGTTTTCAAGTCAAACACAGTTTAGTTTGTAAGCTTTCCATTTTGAAATATGTAATTTGGAGCAATGACACCTCTGAAAAATGGTGTGTCTGCGTCGGTGTCTGAAACCGACACTGACACTTGTGATTACGTTTAATATATTAATTTTTTCAAATTATTATTGGTATCGACGTGTCAGTGTCGTTGTCGTGTTTCCGGTGTCTTTCATAAAAGATTTATATTTGAAATGTTACCTTGACTCAGGGGTAAGGGTTCTTCCATGTTCAAGAGTGTTTTTGCCTAGTGAAAAAGTTTGCTTAAGATATGATAGTCTTCTGTGCTCTACCTCCAAATAAATAGAATCTAATGGATCCCCTTTGAAGAGAAGGAAAAAGTAAGTTCTGTGAACCAATGAAACATTACAAGTGTCCCAAAGTTCTATAATCTCCTTTTGCAGCCTGTTAAATTTTGAAGGCCAATCTGAATGACTTTCTCCATCAGCTTGCATTGGGTCCAAACCAACATCTTTGACATTTTTTGCAGACATAATGGCATCCAATCCTGTCCCATGAACCTGTCATGCAAAACAAACTCGAAGAATTATATTGACTAAAATCATGCTTTAGGTATGTTTATGTGCTAATTTTCTTAAAAACTGCAAAACGGAAAAATAATTATTAATTAAAGTCTCACTAGTGATTACATACAAGTGCATTTAAAAAAAAACTATTTACAACTATTTTCGAAGAAATTTGAACTCCATTTCTAAAGGTTATAAAATCAAACTCTTAACGGTTAGTCGACAACTCATGTGATATGTTTATGGAGCCAGTTTGTAAGGGAAGAATGTCAAACTTAAAATTTATCTCACACGCATTACTGGACATATGGAGTATGATCCGAGTGGCCCAATAGAAGTTGGCTCATCGGATTTTTAATGTTTTGATATCTTAGAAATTATATTAGTCCTAAATCAACCCTACAAAATTGATCTGTAAAATGATGAATATCTACCACTTATAAACTTTCTTTCAGACCATTTTTCATCATATGTGAGACTCTTAACACACACTCACATCACCGGTGAATTGTTAAAGTGAACCAACAGAGCAATGGTTTTAAAAAAGTATATCAATGGATCTAATAACTGATATTTGGTTATCAAAGCTGGGTAATAAGGCCAATAATAAGTGGAAAAAACAAAACTAGGAAGGAAAATTTACAATAGAAGTTTACCTCATGGTGATCCAGTAAATTCAACCTTTTAAGATGTTCCGTTTCGTTTTTATTTGGAGTTAAAGGATCTATGCTCTCGCGTTTCTTTTCATTGAAGGATTTCACATTCTGTGTATCATCATCAACAGAACTTCCCACAGAATTCCTCTCAGCATTTAAATCATAACTTAGTGTATGAACCTTTCTCAGAAAAAACCCCGGTCTTCCAAAAAAGTCTTTTTCATTCCCTACTGGAGGAGGTGTGTTCTGAATTACATCACCATCTACAAACCAATCAGAAGGTAAATTCCTCATGAGACTACCTTTACAACTTCTACTTCGGCTTACCTTCAACAATCTAGAACTACTTTTTCTGTCGTCTTCTGCCATGCAAGGGGTTCTATTTTCTGGAGTTGGAAGAACAAAATGTTCATGCAAGTTGTTCGGTCTGTTGTCTTCCTTTATCCCTGGTGAACACAAATCCTTATTGTTTTTGTCACCATTATTAACTACAATTGATTCTAATGTATCTGTCTTTGCACGAGGAGATGATGCACTAGAATTGGTATATGTATTTGATCTTAAATCTTCCGAGTTTGTATGTGTATGCGTGTTTGTGATAGGCTCTTCTAACTCAATGCACCTAACTTCTTGACAATAATTTTCTTCATGCTGATCTTCAATGTTCTTCTGATCCAAATCATTCTGTACAACATTATTAATGCTTGAAACTGATAGCCTAGGGGAAGAATTTTTTACCATAAAATTCTTTTCAAGGTCGGGGAGTTGGAACAAATTATCATCAGAACTAATACTATGTCCATCTGAATATTGTGAAGCATCAAAGGACCTAACACTTTCTTCACAGTTGATACTTAATACATTCGGTTCCTCTTTTAGATTTTCTAAATTCCATGTGTTACGAATACGCAATTCGGGATACCGAGGACCTAAACTTTCCTGGATATTTGAAAGGAAAAACAGATTAGATCAAATTAAAACTGTATGATTACTATTTTGATGATATCGTTCATGCAAATATAGCTCACCACTCCTATCAAAGAAGACATGTTATCTCCTGCTTCTTGGAGAATGTCCTTAATTTGAACTTGTGCAAGGTCGCGTTGCAAGGTTAGCTCCTTTACCTCTATCCTTAACTGCATATATAGAGTTTGTATTTGCAATCAACAAAAAAACAAATGCAAAGAGTTTTTGCATCAAAAGCTTTATTGTTACCATCTCAATTTCATGATCTTTCTCTCTCAATAATGCTGAAGAATCAGAATTATTAGGGCGAGCCGATCCTGAATTTCTCAATTCACTTTCCAGTTTAGCCAACTCCTTTTGTAATTGCTTAACTAGTGCTTTATCAGAGACCACTACATTGACTTGCGCATTAGTTTCAACTTCCTTAGCACAACTTGCAAATAAGAGAGTGTTTCTGCTTTGCTCGACGTGGCTCCGTGCAGGGCTCATGGTGCAAATGATTGCAGTTCTAGCATTGCCTCCTAATGACGATTGCAATATGCGCGTTAGCTTTGAATCTCTGAAAGGAATATGTCCATTTCTTCCCTTACTGCAACCAAATTCATTGCTTATTATGTTTCAAATTTAGGCACATGACAAATATTGAAACATAATTTTCATAAGCTAACCTGAGTTTGCGGATAACAGTTCCTAGAGTTAATAAACTACGATTTATGTGGCAACCTTCTTTCAACCTTGCTCCAGCTGAATTGGTCTGGGATGCCCTTTCACTTCCAGCAAGATCAACAAAATTCTATACCACAAAATAATCGTCATCTCATTTCCTATAGATATTCATTAACATAACAAACGTGATACTTGAAACATATTCCCATAAAATGAGCAAATTAGTCATACCACTGATGCTGAAAGAGAGCTAAACTTGTCATTTCCAAGAAACTCACGCGCTGAACTTTCAACGGTCTGAAGTATCGCATTGTTAAGCAAATGTAAGACAAGATGTGCCGTAAAAGTTCTCTAAGTTCTTCAACAAAAATAACAACATATCATACCAGTCTGAGAATCTGATGAGATCTAGAGCTTGCTTCATTCAATGATGTCTCTCCTATCTGCCTTTGAGCTGCAAAAATTCGAATCGAACAACAATGATTTTATTAGCAAAAAAGAAAACCAAAGGAATAAATTCAATCAGATACATAATTCAAACCCTTCTTACTTTCACAAAAAGAAATGATTTCTATAAAATGGTCCCAATCCCTAATAGTTTCCTCAGTAAGTTTCTCAACAACTGTTCCTCGCTGATAAAATTAACACAAACCATAAGTAAAAATGCGCGCATACTCACAAGTCCTTTAGAAAATGATAATCTACTATATTTACCTCTGGATCATCAAGAAGTCTAAGAGGAGTACAATCTGGACTAAGAAGATCCCTAACAGATTCATTATAAATCTCAATTGCCGAAAACTTCAAAATGAATTCTCTCTCCATATGCTATAAAACAAGCAAAATCTAAATTAAAAAAAAAAACGGTTTTAAAAATGACCAAGTAATGCAAGGAATGCAGATCCTCTCCCACAGCACAACAATATATCAATAATTTTATCCGAATTATGAAAAAATTGCTTCGCCATATCACTGCCGGAGAGGATCCATATCTGCAATGCAATGATGAATAAGTGTTCACGCGCGCACGTAAGTTTTTCATTCATACCTTTTCTACATAGTTAAAAATGTCTGCTACAGTGCATTCAGTTATACCGCTCATGGTATAAGTTTTTCCACTGCTGGTTTGTCCATATGCAAAAATGCTCGCTGATCGATTACAGTCAAAGAAAAATGTTAAGACGGAAGTTCCACAGAACTAATTCTAATAAAAGAAGAAAAAAAATCATCAAATAAACTCACAATTGATTCCACCAACAACAGAAAGAGCAACATCTCTAGCTGCTTCTTCATACACCTTCCTTGTGTCACAATCTGATCTAAACACTCTATCTATAACCAACCAAATCACAAAAAAAAAGTTTCCAAATTCAGTAACCACATTATTCAAATTCCATCTTTCTGGTACAGAAATAAAATCAAACACCTAGTCTGCAACATACCAAATGAATAAGCTGTTGGATAAAGAGATCTTTCAGAAGCTGAAACATTATTCCTGTAAATGATTGTACTATCATTGATACATTCCCAGTCAGAAACATCATTTCTCGCAATTTCCTTATCATTTAAGGGCCGAATTCGAACCGAAACTTGAATTCTCTCTTCATAATTCTCTACAGCCTCTTCAATTACCTCATCTCCTCCAACAGAACCCATTTTTTTTCAATTTTCTAACTACTCCAAATTCAAACAATGACAATGATTATAATTACCACATGTCATTGAAACACAAGAACCACTCAAACTTCAACCCCCAATCATTATCTGCATACACAAATTAATCAAATGTTAAATAAACTCTTGATTCAGAACAAAAACAAAAACATTCATAGTTAAATACTTTATATTATATTGAATTAACTAATATATATAAATATACAAGATCTTATAATTAATTAATGAGAATAAAAATGAGTTGGTTTCTGGATTTTTTAAAAAGATTGGAGTTTTGTGAAATGGTCCCCATTCAAATGAACATCATCACATGGAAAGTAGAGAAAAATTACCTAAGGATTGAGAGGGAGTTGATTTCTTTTTAAAGAAAATTCTTTATCAATTCATAGAGAGAGAATTCTGAAAATGAATGGATGAGATTATGTCACTAAAAATCTAGTGCTCTAAATTTAGCATGTGGAGTATAATATAAATAGAACATAGTAGAAAAATGTAGAACTAGAAATGGGAAATATGAATAAAACTAATAAAATCTATAAATTTGTTATATTAAATAGGTATTTAGGAAGAATTTAAATAGTTTTTTTTTTGGATTATTTTTTTGTGGAGTTGAAGTTTGAGAGTTAATAGAATTGAAGAGAAAATGAAAGAAAAAAAATATAGTACTCTTTACAACTCATACAGATGTGCTGTCATATTGAAAAAAATGAGAGCTTAAAGTAAAAGTTGAATGAATGGAGAGATTGGGTTTTTTTCTTCTTTTACTGTCACTGCCAAAAGGGAGTGTCTATCTGTGGATGTTTTGGTATTGCTGTGACTCAGCTTTTGAAAATGAATTGATACAATACAAACAAGTAATTTACTCATATAAGAAAGATGTGACTCTTTATTTGAATATGTAATGTTATTATTTTTAGTCTCTATTTTAGTTTTTTATTTTAAAGTTTGTTTTTTCTCTCATTTTACAATTTTTGAATTTTTCTTTATGTTTTCTAATTTTGCATAGATATCATGTTCATTTATTACGTGTCAATGACATTATGGTTTCATTCATAGATAATTTATTTAATTATAGGTAATTGTAGGTAATTGTACAACTCAACAAATTGGTGTCGATTATGGTGACACATTCAACATCGTAGTCAAACTGGTTACCATAGACACAAAGGCGAAAGTTAGTGGTTCTTCAAATAACCCTTTCGATGATCCAATTTAATATTATAATTTTACTGGAGCAATGCAATACTTGACGTTTACTTGACCCAGCATCTCATATGTCGTTCAACAAGTGTGTTTATTTATGCAAAATCTAAAAACACACTTGTCTGATTTTAAAATAGAGGGATCAAAAATCAACAAAAATGAAAATAATTGGATAAAAAATCCGTATTTTAAAATAGGGAGGCCTAAAGTATAAAAAACTGAAAATAGGAAGACCGAAATTGTAGTTAAGCCTATATTTTATGTAAAAAAAAATTAAATTTTTTTAATAAAAACTTTAAATAAAAATTTGGTTTAAAGAATTATTTTTAAAATATTATTTTTAATAGTTTATCATTTTATTAAAACTTTTTTTAATATCAAAATTTTTAAAAAAATCACTTAATTTTGTTCTAGTGTAAATAACTTTTCATAAATATTATTTTTGAGATACAATCATTTGAAAAAAATTATGATTTCTAATATATTTTGATCTTCAACAATTATATTTATGTTATATGTTAAAATTAGTGTTTCAATTTAGAAAAAATAATTTTAAAAAACTTATAATATTTTAAAAAATCATTTTAAATAAAACTATTTTTTTTTAAAATAAAACAAACATATCCGTTATATATTTCTCTTATATAGCACGTATATATTAATTTTCATCACTTCTATACAATTCTAAACTTAGTCTTCATCACTTTCATATTTCACTACTACTTATTCCCACACATGAAAAGTTACAGTGAGATGTATTCTCCTGGACCCACAAATAATATATCATATAATTACATATATTATACCTAGAAAAAGACTCAAAAAAGGAGATTATTAATCTATTTAAAATTTTAATGAGTTTGCTTGTAAAGTAGCATCATATTTAGAAGCATGGAACATGACTGAAAAGACTACCAATATGAGGGAGAAAAAAAAGTTGAATCATATAATAACACCATAAGATATAGTCTCATAAGGTGGGGCAAGCACGTGGTGGCGGTGCCTTTTCACTACTTTTTCATACCTTGCAAGAAAGTTGTAATAACTATTAGTACTACTTTCAAGTGTCAACCTCCTTTATCACACAAGAAATAAGTTTCAAGGCCATTGGATGATTTGACATCTCAAGAATCATTTGAGTTTTGTTAATAGGAGGCTTTCTTTCTTTGCAAACTACTTTACACTTAATTATCTCTTTATCAAGTTCAATTAAAACACATTTTAAAAAGAATTATGTTTAATTGCATACTCGACTTCTTTATTTTTAATTTTTTTAAAACATATTATACGACTAAAAAAAGGATTTTATTTTGATTAGGGTTTGAGAAATGGCGTCATTTTTTTCTTTGGTCGTTGATCAAGACGAAAAATTAGAATGCGCATTATTTTTCACTTCAGATGGAGATAAACTAAGAAAAAATCTCTCATTTTTCACATCAGTTAGACTCTAAATCGAGGTAAAATTTCTCACATTTTTCTCTCATTTGAGACTTTAACCAAGGGGATAATTATTAGAGGATTACATTTCACATCGGTGAAGACTATTAAGCGATTAGAAATCTCTCTCTCTCTCTCTCTCTCTCTCTCTCTCTCAAAAGCAAGTTGTCCAACGTGAGTAGACATATGTCATATAAGTCTTCTTTTGTGAATGTCGATGTTCATTTGTTAAACCCATAAGAATACAAAAATAACAGTAAATTATGAATAAACAATAAAAAATATTTACTTGTTATTTTTTCATATATTTTCTTGATGTCTACAATGAATAACATGCACATCATCTGAATCATATTTTCATATGAGGCACACACGTGTGTTGAGAAAGAATGAGTATAAAAAATATCAAAAGTTAAATCTTAATTTTCATCACTAGCATGAATGTGTTTTCCTTATAAAACAATTGATCATCTATTGTTAGAAGGATAAATGATATAAAACACTTATTTTGCTTGAGATGCCATGATGAAAGGTTTGTTCATATAAGTTATTTGCGAATGTCAGTTCGTGCGAATCCTGATTCATCGATTTGTACACCAATGTTAGTGTTAGTTCACTTGCATTTAAATAAAGGAACTTTAAATATAACATAATAAATATGTCAAATCTCCTCAATGATCATAAAGTACAATCTAGATGCCATTACATAATTCTTATCTTTGGAACAAATGAAGTACATGTATTCAACCTCAACCATAACCCCATTATTTGATATAGTGCTACAATCATCCTTTCATTTTGTATAGAAGGAAACTTTACTAATGTCGTATGGAGTCTGATTTATTACATTAAGTTTAGGAATATATGACATTGATTTAATTGTCTCGGATGTACTTTCATCATTAGAAGTCGTTTAATTAAATCAATCTATGAAGTTCTTGTTATACTTTGTCAACAACCATTTTTCATTCATCGAAGATGATTTTTTCTTGATAAGTCTTTTGTGAACGGATATGTAAGGTTGAACTTCATCAATGTTATTCAATATATACAAATATGCTTGAAGAAGTTCATCATGGGCCATTGTCTTAACATTTAAACCTTGAGTACCTTTACCTTCATATCTTCCATCATAACGAGACTTAGGAATTCCTATAGAAATCTATTTATAACAAATAGTTTGAACAAAACTTAATAGCTTCTTCAATAGTGTACCTTTCAACAATCGAAGATTTCAGACACTAATGATTCTTCGTATATCCTTTACCGATCTTCATGTATCGCTCTACTGGATACATCCACCTTAAATAAAATTGGGCACAAAACTTAATCTCCTCGACTATATGAATAATTAAGTGAACCATAATATTAAAGAATGACGAAGGGAAATACATATTCAATTCACACAAGATAACAATAGCCTCATGTTCAAACTCATCTAAGTCTTATGGATCAATGACTTTATTACATATAACATTGAAAAATAAGCACAATTTAATTATAGTTTTTGATACATTTTTTGGCAAGATGCCACAAATATCTACAGGTAGAAGTTATTTCATCAAGACATGACAATCATGAGTTTTAAGTAAATTAATTTGAGTTTCTTTTGTTGATACAAGTTTTTTGAAATTTGATAAGTATTATCGAGGAACTTTGATACCTTGCAAACACTTTCTTTTTTCTTTTCTAATAGAGGATGACATGTCGGGGGCAAGTATATTCTTTTACCTATTTCTTTTAGTGCTAACTCTTGTCATATACCCATCTCCACCTATAGACAGACATTCTTGCCATCTTTTGTCTTACCTTGAATGTTGATAAGTGTTCCAATTACACTATCACTTATATTTTTCTCCACATGCTTCACATCATGACAATATCTTACGTCGAGGTTAGACCAATATGAAAGATCAAAGAATACCGACCTCTTTTACTTATATTTTTCTCTGTAAACTGTTTTTTATTTTCTCCAAAGACAACATTAAGGTGTCATTGTTGTTGATAAATTTTCTCTCTAGTTAAGGACTTTGGAGCAATATAAAACTCATGTTCTCTATTAAAATCTCTCTGCAATCTACGATATGGATGATCGGTTCTTAGAAATTTTTAATGCCCAAGGTAGACAATATTTTTTTCCAATATTTAGTTGGTGGTGGCATGTATCATATTCATATATATGAGACACTTTATGTTCATTAACGCTATACCCAAACAAATTATTGTATGCAAGAAAGTAATTGGTTTTACAAAACAACATGACATGCATCTTAACATTTTTATCTGAATATGCATCATCATTATCAATGTCTTCCTCATACAAAACTCATAAATATCCCACC